CTAAGTTTAGGTAGCGGTCTCTCAGTCTTGTTTATCCCTTCGAATAGCAAACTTTTGGCTTCATTGATCCTTTGTATGGATCTCTGGATCTCAATTTTGTTCCATTCTGCTCTAAAGAATATCAACTTTTGTGGCATTATTGACTATAAATTTGATTAAATTCCTTTAAATAATTTTAAATTGTAATTAGTCTATGTGTGGCTGACCCTTGAATATTTAAAATACACTCTGTAGCAAATAAATATGAATAAACATGATGGTTCAATGATGCCATAGCTAATCAAAACTACAAAATAATACAATGGTATGAAAAGGAATGAAATAATGGCATTTGCTACAACTTGCATAGAGTTGGAGATCATTATTCTAAATGAAGTAACTGAGGAGTGGAAAACTAAACATCACATGTTCTCACACATAAGTGGGAGTTAAGCTATGAGGATGCAAAGGCATAAGAATGATACACTGGACTTTGGCACTTGTGGGAAACAGTGGGAAGGGAATGAGGGATAAAAGACTACACATTGTATATAGTGTACACTGCTCGGGTGATGGGTGCACCAAAATCTCAGAAATCACCACTAAAGAACTTATTCATGTAACCAAATACCACCTGTTTCTCAAAAAACTTTTGAAATTAAATAATAAAAAAATATTAAAAATAAGTAGGAATACAACTTACAAAGAATACAAAGGACCTCTTCTAGGAGAACTACAAACCACTGCTCAATGAAATAAGAGAGGACACAAACAGACGGAGAAACATTCCATGCTCATGGGTAGGAAGAATCAGTATCATGAAAATGGCCATACTGCCCAAAGTAATTTATAGATTCAACGCTATCCCCATCAAGCTATTAATGACCTTCTTCACAGAACTGGAAAAAAACACCTTAAACTTCATATGGAACCAAAAGAGAACCCACATAGCCAAGTCAATTCTAAGCAAAAAGAACAAAGCTGAAGACACCACACTACCTGACTTCAAACTATACTACAAGCCTGCAATAATCAAAACAGCATGGTACTAGTACCAAAACAGAGATATAGACCAGAACAGAGGCCTTGGAGACAACGCCACACATCTACAACCATCTGATCTTTGACAAATCTCACAAAAACAAGCAATGGGAAAAGGATTCCCTGTTTAATAAATGGTGTTGGGAAAACTGGCTAGCCATGTGCAGAAAGCAGAAACTGGACCCCTTCCTGACACCTTACACTAAAATTAATTCCAAATGGATTAAAGACTGAAACATAAGACCGAACACCATAAAAACCCTAGAAGAAAACCTAGGCAAAACTATTCAGGACATAGGCATAGGCAAGAACCTCATGACTAAAACACCAAAAGCATTGGCAACAAAAGCCAAAATAGACAACAGGACCTAATTAAACTACAGAGCTTCTGCACAGCAAAAGAAACAATCATTAGTGAACCAGCAACCAACAGAATGAGGAAAAAATTTTTGCAATCTACCCATCTGACAAGGGCCCAATATCCAGAATCCACAAAGAACTAAAACAGATTTACAAGAAAAAAACAAACAAGCCCATTCAAAAGTGGGCAAAGGATATGAACAGACATTTAACAAAAGAAGACATAGATGAGGCCAACAAACATGAAAAAATGCTCATCATCACTGGTCATTAGAGAAATGCAAATCAAAACTACATTGAGATACCATCTTATGCCAGTTAGAATGATGAACATTAAAAAATCTGGAGACAACAGGTGCTGGTTAGGATGTGGAAAATAGGAACACTTTTACACTGTTGGTGGGAGTGTAAACTAATACAACCATTGTGGAAGACAGTGTGGCGATTCCTCAAAGACCTAGAAATTTGACCCAGCAATCCCATTACTGAGTATATAAGGATTATAAATTGTTCTATTATAAGTATACATGCACATGAATGTTCACTGCAGCACTGTTTACAATAGCAAAGAATTGGAACCAACCCAAATGCCCATCGATGATAGACTGGACAGGGAAAATGTGGCACATATACACCATGGAATACTATGCAGCCATAAAAAATGATGAGTTTGTGTCCTTTGTAGGGACATGGATGAACCTGGAAACCATCATTCTTGGCAAACTGACACAAGAACAGAGAATCAAACACCACATGCTCTCATTCATAGGCAGGTGTTGAACAATGTGAACACATGGACATAGGGAGGGGAGCATCACACATTGGGGTCTGTGGGGGGAAACTAGGGGAGGGACAGCAGGGGGTGGGGACATGGGGAGGGATAACATGGGGAGAAGTGTAAGGTATAGGTGATGGGGAGGAAGGCAGCAAACCACATTGCCATGTATGTAGCTATGCAACAATCTTGCATGTTCTTCACATGTACTTTAAAACATAAAACGCAACAAAATATATATTTTAAAAAATAAGTAAAATAATGCTAATGGCAAAAGTACTAAAATCATAAATGAAATTTTGATTTAATTCCTATTTTTCACCATGCCAGGGTTCTAATTTTTCTAATATTTTTGTAAACTTTCTGTAGTTTTACCACAACCAATGTTCAAAATCTTTCTAGTGAATTTTTGTAAGTTTTTCCAGATCTAAAAGAAAAGAAAATGCTATCTCAGAATATCAGAGTCCAGGTTGTTGGATAGTTCATTTATGTTTCCAGTAAGAGACTTGGTAGAATGGCCCAAAGTAAAGAAAACTTCAGCATCCACAATATACCAAGTGCCTTCTTATATCAAACTTTCACTTATTACATACTGAATCCCATATATCTTTGTCTTTAATATAAATTTGAATTTTTAAGGATTTAATATCTTTCCTAAGATTTCTTATAGCCAGAAGTATCTGTCATTGTCTTAAAATTATATTGATCCAGTTTATTTTAATTATTAAAATATATGTATTTCTTATTAGTATGTATTAACATTCATAAAGGTTTATTTATAATTAGTAGATGTTTAATTTCTTAGGAAATGAAGGACTGAATCTCTGTGCTGACTTTTCCTTTTCAGAACATTTAATCCATTTATAAGTTTTCCACATTCTGTTTTGCCATGGTCATTGTGGATACCTCTATGCCATAGCTGTAATCAACTATAATAAACTTGTAAGTCACTATTCTATAAGACCATTCATGCTGATGAGTCCTTTAGTATTTAGAATATCCCTCCTTTTATGATCTTTTCTAAAATGGGTAAAAGGTCACCTCATTTTGCAGAAATTCTATCTCATACTGGTTCATTCACATATCTTCTTTCTTACACAGATATAAACAAGTATATGTGCTAAACATATGGAAACATACCCTAAACATAAAGAATAAAACATCATATTTAAATACTCTCCTACTTCTTTAAATCAATAAGGATGGAAAGAGCCTGTTAGAATCTGTTATTGTAATGCAAGCAGCTCTTTGTATACCTTGTTTCGTCTTTTGAGTGTCACTGTGAAATTAAGGCTTTTTAGAGACTTAATCTTTTCCAGTTTAGCAATTAGCATTATTACTTTTGTTAGTATTTGCTGTTTTTGTTATTGAAGCACTACTCTCTAACATTCCAAGAAGCAGCCTTGATTTCTGGTTAACAACAGGTTGCTTTGACTCCATCTTATTTTGTCTTTACAACAAACTTGAAGCCAGTTACCCTCCAGGGATCAAAATTTATGTGCTGGGGTGCACATGAAGCTTGGTAATACATTAGAGGAGTGTCCCTGCTGCTGGGCCATTTATAATAATGATAGAGCTGGAAAATAAGTCTTTTAAAGACATGAATTCACACTGATTTTTCCAATGTAACATATTACTGAAACCAACTCTTTTGTAGACTTGCTTTTATGGTTATATTAAATATGTAATAAGATGGAAAAAATGCATTACCTTCACAGCTGATAGCAGAATTCCTCCACAGGAAAGATCAGTCGCTCTTGGGAAAAATGTTTTAATTTTTTAGAGTAGAAGGTAAGATCCTCTCTCCTCCCCATTTCCACCATCAAGGCCTAAAAAAACTGACCCCCAATGTTTCAGTGAAGAATTTAGTTGTTCAAGGCCAGGAGGAAGAGGAGATTTGAAGGTAACAGATGAGAGTAGGGGAGGAAATAAGGGTTTGAGGTGTCACTGTTGTTCATGATGATGCACCAAATAAATAAACAAAACATCAAATTCTTGCATGTATGTGTGATAACATTTCTTCATGAAAACTAAAGAAAGAGCTGAATTTCATGTCAGATGGAGGAGTTGTGAGTCAGATATAGTATGCCAGGAAGCAGAAACACAAAGACCTGGAGAGGCCTATGAATACAAGCTCCCTGTAAACTTTTTAGAAATATGAAGACCTCCTGGGACTTTCATAGAGTGGAAACAGTAGGCATCAACACCAACTTTACTTAGATACTGAGAAGTAAAAATACGTTTCTGTATTAAAATTGAACACAAATCAACTTCTTAAGAAGAGGGTTGCCAAATTTAGAAAGGAAATCACAGACTATCCAGTTAAAGTTGAACATCAGATAAACAACAATTTTTTGTAAATATGTCCCATGAAATATTTGGGACAAACTTAGGCCATCTTCAACCCCAACAATGGGAGTTGTGATGTGTGTGTGTGTATCATAAACTACAAATATGCTCACTATAATTATAAATATATAAAACATATATTAGTTATAAGTATTGATATATTTTAATGTATATAAAACCCTTAGTTGTGATAGATAGAAAAATCTCCTCCCCCTTCATTTTTTTGTTTATTTCTGTCTTGATCATCCCGATTTTTCATTTTCTCTTTACCCTTTGTTTTCCATGTGCTCCATGCTAGTATTTAACATTCATGATTTTTGAAGCCTATTGTTCAAAATTCTCACAGTACCTGTGTGTGTGATTGCAAAAAAAAAAAAAAAAATCAAGTTGAAGGTCTTTATAAACTTCTCCTTCAACTATAGTTAATTCTGTTTCCCACTACAGAAAACATATGTTGATCTCAAACATGCCATGACACCTATATAAGCCATGCAAAATGATGGCTGTGATGTCACCCAGTATGGTCTTTCTCAACTCCCTGTACTTCATCTCCCTCATCAGAGCCTTTGGAGCCTCAGTTGCTTTGCAATGATGTTTCAGGAAAGGCGGGAATATTTTTGTTAGAAATAAAGGAGCATCCATGTTGAGGAAGGAGGCTGATTCATTGTGCATGAACCTGGTGCCCTCCTGTGAGACATGGTACCTTAACTGCTGTTGCTCAGCATTGAGTCTCTTTCCTTTTCTTCATTACACATAGGCTGTACTCAGCCTTTCTGCACCACAAATGTCATGCCTTCTCAAGTGTTTTTATGCCCTGTACCCATTGCATCCAGTGATGTCAGGGGAATTCTCAGCTTAGTATAGTCACATGATGGATCAGAGATACAGAACTAAGAATTCATGAGGGATACATATCTCAAGCGAAAGGTGGATATCTAAGGATTGTCCTCAAGAAACCAGTGAGTTATACAAAATCTTTACCAAAGGAAATAGAAAATTGAAGAAAAAAGTGAATAAAAATTTACAAAAATAATTGTGCAACAGTGAAGTGAATGTGTCAAAAGTATAAAAATAGCAAGAGCTAACTGAACTACAGTCACCTGTCATCAGATATTTAAAATCATCCTAAGCCTTAGAAGCAACAAACTGAAAAGGGGGCATAAGGTTGCCTTGAGTTTCTTAACCTATCCAAAGGTGGTAAACATTCTTCAAGTTTCACTCTTCTTTTCTGTACAGAAAGGGGATTGGACTAAATCAGTGATGTTCAACCTGTGATCCAAGTATCCCTGGTGTTTCTGTGGTGACACAAGGATGGGAATGGTGGGCCTGGATATCACATTCATGAGTCAGAGCAGCTCTAATATTTTTATATATTGGAAGTCACAGAAAATTTTCATTGAAATAAAGTCTTCATATCTGTATTAGATTCCTAGGTTACTGTAACAAATTATCACAGATTTTCTAGATTAAGACAAAAGAAATGTATTCTCTCATAGTTATGGAGGTCAGAAGTTCAAAATCAAGGTATCCAGTAGGCTACATACTCCCTGCAGCAGGCTAAGGGGAGGTTCCACTTCTTGCCTCTCTCAGCTTCTGCTGTCTCTTGGCAGTCCTTGGGATGTGGCTCTCAGTCCACCTTCTCCCTTGGCCTTCACATAGCCATAGCCTTCTCCTCTTTGTGTGTCTTCTCCTCTTTTCTTCCCTTATGATGACACTTGTCACTGGGTTTAGGATTTTGCAAGATGATCTCCAATGGAGATCTTAATTTAATTTCATCTGCAAAGACCATTTTTCCAAATAAGGTCACATTTACAGGTTCTGGGTGAACATGACTTTTGGGAAGCCACCATTCAAACCCCTGGACTGTTAAAAAAGTCTAACTTAACTCAGTATTTTAAAGGTTCTTTTATAGATGCATTTTTCAAACTATGGATTTAACACATTTGTTGAAATAAGTAAAATGCACAAAGATGTATAAAGTAAAAGCTAATTATTCCCTACCCAGCTCTTCTCCAGTCTTACCTCTTTCCACTATTTCTCTCCAACTCATCCAGATTCACTGTTCTTCTGTCAGTCAAGCTGGTAACCTATGTTAACAACACTGTGTTTGTACTTCTATGCTTTACTTCAGGATCATGTGATTACACACACACACACACGTGTGTGTGCATGCACGCACATATGCATTTGCACTGATAAGGAGTTTAAAATTGACTATACAAATTAGATCACATAATATACACTCTTCTTCATCTAACTTTTCTTGTTCAAAAATGTCTTGAGTACGTTGTTCTAAATCAAGTAGTATAGTTCTAATATACTATTTATAATCAATGCCTTATAGCACAGTATTCCCCAATGCACACAAACCTCTTATTTCAAGCCTTCCCCATTAATATGTATTTTTATATTTTCAAATTTCCATATTTTTTCCCATTTGAAAAATTCTGTGATACATACATATACTTGTATGCATAATTTTACGTGCTGATGCTTTTATTACTATAGGATAGATACCTGGCAGTAATACTGTGGTGTCAAGGATACATATATTTTTGTTAGTAGATGTTATCAGATTGCTTTTCCAAAGGCCTGCAAAATTGCATTTGTCTGTCAATACATGAAAGTATCCAGTTCCTTACATTACAGCTGGCAATAATGCTTTTTCTTTCCACATTTTTGCCAATCCAATGGGTGTAAATAACACTAAACTGTATTTGATTTACATCTCTGACTACCAGTGATAGCATCTTCTAAGATGTTTATTGGCCACGTGGATTTTCTCTCTACTATGAAATATTTGTATTTTTCTTGTTTAATCACTTAGATTGTTGTTCTTGTCCACTTGTATAGTATAGATACCAAAACTTCATAATCGTTAGTTATGGATTTGTTTTGTGTTGTTTTTGTTGTTGATATTTTATGTTTTTTGGAGAGACAGAATTTTGCTGTGTTAATCAGGCTGGTCACGAACTCCTGGCCTGAAGCAATCCTCCCATTTCAGCCTCTCAAAGCACTGGGACTATAGATGTGAGCCACCATGCCTTGCCTTAATCTTGTCTAGCTACATACATCTTTTAGAACATCCAGGTTTTTTTTCTTACCTAAGAAAGTCATTCCACCCTGGATTACATGTGTAGGCTATCTATAATTCTAATCTATTTAAATTGTTTGCATTCTTTTTTAATTCATTTGAAATGTATTCTGGATATCATGTTAACATAAGATCCCAAATTTATTCTCTTTCAGTTGGAGTGTCAATGGTTATAAAACAATTTACTAAATAATTCATCCTTTACCAATGAAATGGAAATGCTGTTGTATATTAAATGCTTATATGTACTGGAATCATTTGACCAATTTTTATTTTTTAATCTACTTTTTAAATTTTTTTATTTTGTTTTTGACATTATAATCTAATTTTCTAATTCTAGAACAATGTCATTGTACTTCTAACAATAGTAAGGTAGTTCTTCTATCTCAGCTCTTCTCTTTCTATTTTTCATAACTATTCTCAGGCATTTATTATTTCATATTTATAATCATCTTATAAAATTTCTCCCTGAATATGACCCTCTGGAATCTAAATAAAATTACATTAGGCTGGGCATGGTGGCCCACATCTATAATCCCAGTACTTTGGGAGGCTGATCCAGGTGGATCACAAGGTCAGGAGTTTGAGACCAGCCTGATCAAGATGATGAAACCCCATCTCTACTAAAAATACAAAAATTAGCCAAGTGCAGTGGTGGGCACCTATAATCCCAGCTACTCAGGAGGCAGAAGCAGAAGAATCACATGAACCTGGGAGGCAGAGGTTGCAGTAAGCCAAGATCACACCCCCACACTCTAACCTGGGAAAAAGAGCAAGACTCTGTCTCAAAAAAAAAAATAAAAAAATAAAAAAAATTAACATTAAATTGTTATTTTGAATTTAGCAGAATTGACATTTTAATCTTCCTGTCTAAGAATATTGCCCTTTTCATTTTTTAGCACTATTTTATGCAAGGCAAAGAATTTATAATTTTTTGGGTAAAAATTCTATGCTATTCTTGGCAAGAGTAATTCTATGAATTTTATGCTTATATTGTTATTTAAATAGACTTTCCCTCATTTTTGTTTCTAGGTCTTAATTGCTTATAGAAAATCAATTTATATTATATCTTCTATCTATTTATCTATTAATCTCCTTGTACATCTTCAACATAGCTCCTGGGTCACCAGCAATCTTGTTTTCCAAGCAGTAGGTCTTAACAGTGGGCTTAAAATATTCGCTCAGCCATGCTGTAAACAGATGTACTGTCATCCAGGCTTTGTTGTTTCATTTATAGGGACAGGCAGAGGAAAGTTAGCAGAATTTTTATTGGGCTCTAGGATTTTTGAGATGGTAAGTGAACATTGGCTGCAGCTTAAATTTAACAGTTGTGTTAGGCCCTAAGAAGATGGTCAGCCTGTCCTTCGAAGTTTTGAAGCCAAGTGTTGACTTCCACATTCTAGCTATGAAGTCCTAGATTACATGTTCTTCCAATAGAAAGCTGTTTTGTCTATGTTTAAAATCCATTGTTTAGTGTACCTACCTTGATCAATGATCTTAGTTAGATCTTAAGGATAACCTGATGCAGCTTCTATATCAGCATTTGCTGCTTCACCTTGCATTTTTATGCTATGAAGATGGCTTCTTAAATCTCATGAGCCAATCTCTGTCAGCTTAAAACTTCTCTGCTGTAGCTTCCTCTCCTCTGTCAGCCTTCATAGAACTGAATAGAGTTAAGGACTTGCTCTGGATTAGGTTTCGGCTTAAGGGAATGTTGTGGCTGGTTTGATATTCTATCCAGACCACTAAAGCTTTCTCCATATCAGCAATAAGGCTGTTTCACTTTCATATCATTTGTGTGCTCACTGGAGTAGCACTTTTAATTTTGTTAAAAATGTTTTCTTTGCATTAATAACTTGACTATTTGACTCAAGAGGCCTAGCTTTTACCCTATCTTGTCTTTCAACATGCCTTCCTCACTAAGTTTAATTATTTCTTTTTTTTTTTAATTGCATTTTAGGTTTTGGGGTACATGTGAAGAACATGCAAGATTGTTGCATAGGTACACACATTGCAGTGTGATTTGCTGCCTTCCTCCCCTTCATCTATATCTGGCATTTCTCCCCATGCTCTCTCTCCCCAACTCCCCACTTCCTGCTGTCCCTCCCCTATATCACCCCAACAGCCCCCAGTGTGTAGTGCTCCCCTCCCTGTGTCCATGTGTTCTCATTGTTCAACACCCACCTATGAGTGATAACATGCGGTATTTGATTTTCTGCTCTTGTGTCAGTTTGCTGAGAATGATGGTTTCCAGGTTCATCCATGTCCCTACAAAGGACACGAACTCATCGTTTTTGATGGCTGCATAATATTCCATGGTGTATATTCTAGCTTTCAATTTAAAGTGGAAACTTTTCCTTCTACTTAAAACACTTAGAGGCCATTATAAGGTTACCAATTGGCCTAATTTCAATATCGCTGTGTCTCAGAAAATAGAAAGGCCTACAGAAAGGGAGAGAGATGGGGGAAGGGATAGTCAGTGGAGCAACCAGAACACACACAACTGTAAAGTTTTTTGTCATATAGGAGTGCATTTCGTGGAGTCCCAAAACAATTACAATAGTATCATATCATCAAAGACACTGATCACAGATCACCATAACATATAATAATAATTAAAACATTTGAAATACTACAAGAATTGCCAAAATGTAATGAAAAGACACAAACTGAGCACACGCTGTCAAAAAAATGGCACCAATAGACTTGCTTGACCAGAGTTGCTACGCAGCTTCAATTTGTAAAAAGCACAATATCTGTGAAGTTTAATAAAGCAAGGTACGCCTGTGCACATGCTCACAATGACTTTTCTAATGATATATTTTCTTTTTCCCCCAATCCCTGGTGGTAGGTGATCTAATTACATATCTTTAATCACCTTTCTCACTTCTTCAGCCCTAATTGTTT